ATTTCACCATGCTCAGCTATCCAGCTACTCAGTAGCTGCTACAGATGTGGTCCAAAGAGTCCCAGATACTGCTCATGCTGGAAGAAGTCCTTGGCATTGTACATGTGATGCTGGTTTTTCAGGCATGCAGAATACAAGAATAATGAGGTATTGGAGGCTTCCACCCAGATTCCAAAGAAAGAACTTAGAGACCAGGCAAAAATATACAACAGTGTCTGAGTCCTTGACACCAGATCTTCAGTGGGCAGGGTGTAAACCACTAGAAGAGTGGCCAAATCTCCACAAGAGAACTAGAAACTTGGACAATGTCTGCTGAGGAAAGCCTCAGGCTGATAATGGGAGCGTGTGAGAGAAAGGCCATTATCAACTGAAACAAGCAAAGGCATGAGTTTGTATTTCCAAGGGTCCAGAACTTATATCACACCATGAACTCCAGATAACAGACATGGAGTTATAGGGACTTAGTATTTGCCATGCTGTGTTTTTATCTTTCTTTGGTCTGATTCTTGACTATCTCATTATTCCTCTATTTTAGAATGACAGTTTTATCTTATTTTATTATAACTAGAGAACATAACTTGCCTTTTGATTTTTACAAGAGCTAACATCTAAGAGTTGCCATAAATGTCAGAAAAAAATTTGGACTTGGATTTTTGAACAACTCTGTGACTGTTGAGATTTGATGGAGGGAATTAGTGCATATTTGGTTGTACACAGAAAAGTTATATTAGGTGTACTTATGAACTTGTTGTCTTTGGAGATTAAATATGGTTTATAGAGATATATGTGGGTTTCAAGTTGAAAAGGGGAATTTTGTGAAGTTTAATCTTGATTATCAACTTGACTGGATTAAGAGAAACCTAGCAAATGAGTAATATATATTTCTCAATGTGTCTGGATGAGTCAAGTAGATGTGACCTTGGGGACTATATCTGGTCCCCCACCCCTTCCTCTCTGCCACATTTGCCCTGTGCTCTGCTTCCTAGTTGTCACAAAGTGAGAATCTTTGCTTTACCATGTCCTTCCACTATAATGTTTCTATTTTGGACCCAGATGACCATGATTAAACTAACTCAGGTTTGATTTTGTCCCATCAATGGAAAAGCTGGCCAGTGCACATGCCATTTATAATAAAATATTTATCTAATAGGATTTAATAAGAAAACTAAAGTACCAAAAGTATTGATTAAAATCATTATCTACACAGGACGTGGTGGCACAGGTCTGTAATCAGAGCACTTGGGAGACTGGGGCAGAAGGATCCCTGTGAGTTCAAGCCCAACCTGTGTTACATAGTGAGTTCAAGGTCAGCCTGTACTATATAATGAGATGCTGTCCCCAAAAAACAAACAAACAACCCACAAAAGTCATTATCAATGCTTGACTTTTCTGGATTACTCTTTAGGAAATTTTCTACAATCATGAGTGAATTTGCAATATGGAGTTTTATTCTGATGCAGAATAAAAAAGACATCATCAGTTTTCTAAACATCATTATCAATATGTGTTTACTGTTATAGATAATTGTTCTCCAAAAGCCCATGAGTTGAAAGTTTGCCCTTCAACAGTGCTATTCAGATGTTGAGCAAGGTGAGAGGTCATAACATCAAGGAAGGTGTGTCCTTGAAGTGGATCATAAGACTGCTTTCTCTGTCTTCTTCTCTTCTTCTGGCCTATGATATGAGCAGTTTGCTCTACTATGTGTTCCCCCAATACCATCCAGCAACCCCACCACAGGCCCAATGCAAAAGTTTCAATCTATCTTGGACTCCAGTCTCTAAAATCAGAAGGAAAAATAAACGATTTTTTATAACAATGTTTTTATGGTAACATGAAGCTGATTAACACATTTACATATAATAACAATGACATTCCTCACAATCTCTTACAAAAAGAAAAAAAATCATCATTTCATTTTAAATTTCATCAAGTTATGGCAGTATGATTAAACCATTAATTTCTAGTTCTTTCACCAGAAACATCAGTTTCATTTGGGAACTCATTTAAAATGCAAATTTCAAGCCTTACTCAAGAATCATTAAATTAGGCACACTGGAATGAGATCTCATTAGTCAGTACTTAACAAGCCTTCCTAGTAATTCTGATAATATTAATAAAAAACTAGCCCAAAATAAAAAGATGAATATTAATACCTAAATACTCCAAAGAATTCTAGCTAGGTCAATGCCTAATGGAGATTTGGGAATAGGACTGTTTCAGAGAACCCAGCCTCATATAATCTCCAGGTGGGAGAATTGAAGACAACTCCAACGTATGAGACACAAACTGCAACATATGCAGGTTTGCTTGGAGTCTTTGGGTCTGAACCCCACCCCAAGTGTGTCTGGAAAAGCACGATTTCCTGTCAACAAAATTTATTGTAGAACCTTAAGACTGAACTTGTCTACAATCTGTTACACTTTATCTCTTTTTCACTTTTCCATTTTGCAATGGAAATATATAAGCTATACCTCTCAGTTGCACCACTGTATTTTGGAAAATCCCAACTTGTTTGATATTATAAGTTCACAACTTGAGAGTAATTTGCCTCAAGGGTTATAATTTATGTTTCATTCAATCTTCTTTAGATGACATTTAGATGAGTCTTTCAATTTAGATTTTAAGTTTGATACTGGACCAAGATTTTTGAAAATATAGGATGGAATAAATTTATTTTGTGTATGAGGACATGCTTTTGTGAGGCCAAGCATAGAATGTTATGATCTAAATGCTAGTATCCCCCTAAATTCACTTATTGGAACTTTATTCCCAATATTATTATAGTAAGAGTTGAGTATTTTAGGAGGCAGTTAGATCCAAAGTGTAGAGCCATCATGAATTGTATTGACACCCTTAGTGTAGCCTTCAGGGGAGTTGTTTTATCCTTCTGTCCTGTGAGGCCCCAGAGAGAAAACACCATAAACAAGGAATAGGCCCTTGCCAGACACAATTTCTTACATCTTGATTTGGTTTCCTTTAGAACTAGGAGCTTGTAGAAGTATGAGTAGCATATTTCTGTTGTTTAGTAATTACCCAATTTAGAGTTGTTGTTTTTATAAGTCAGCATTAAACTAAGAAATTCTCTGGTTAGAATTAGACTGTATATGTCTACTGTCTCTACATTAGGGACATTTTAACTTCTTTACAAGACCTATGTGATCTACTGAACATTATTAACCAGGCCAATATATGAACAATGGGAATGACCAGGAGATAAAGAAAGAGAAAGAGGCAGAAAGTTCTGAGATCCTACAAGTGTAGAGCAACTAAAGTCATATCCAAGCCTTGGAGAGGTATTAGTACCCAACAACTATTCATGGAAGCTGCTTGGGCATCAGGTCCCCAGAGCCATGTGTGTCCAACTCTTGCCCTAGTATTTGTAAAAGCCAAAACATGGAATAAAACAAAATAATCAAGATTTAAGATTTAATGTTGTCTATATTATTGAGTTTGGACTTATTTGGGACCCATTAGTCATTTCTTGTTTTCTTATTTTTCCTTGTGGAATGAGATTATCTATTTTATGCTTGTCTCATCACTGTGTTTTGAAAAATCATAATTTGTTTGCTACAGTTTCACATGTGAATGGGAATCTGCCACAAGATTAATCATACTTTGAGTCTCACCTGTAGCTGATTTAGGTAATATTTCAAGGAAACTTTGTACTTATACTTTGAGGGCAATCCTGAAGTGAATCAAAAACTTTGGGGGGCAATAAAGATGGGATAAATGTTGATTTTAGGTGAAAAAGACATGACTTTTAGAAACTATGGTTTGAATGGATGTTCTCTCTAAAATTCACTTTGAAATTTAGCTTATATTTTATTCCTACTAAGAGGTAGAACCTCTTGGGAAATGATTCATTTATGAAGTAGTGCTTTCAGAACTGAATGAATGATGTTATAAAAGAAGTTTTGGAGACACTGTTTAGCTGATTTTTTACCCCCTGCCTTGGTCCATGTTAGGATCCAACTGGAAAATGAAGCATTAAAATATAAACTTGGAAGCAGAAAGATTAAGCCTCAGAAGGCACCAGGCATGCTGGAGCTTTAATCGGGGAGAAAAAGTCCCCTGAAGACTGAATCTCTGAGCAGAGGAACCAGTTAAACCTACCTTAGCTTCTGACTTATAGAATTTTAAGGTAGTAATTGCTGTTTTATATGATTAAATTTGTGATAATTTGTTATGCAGTTGGGGCCAGGGATTTAGCTCAGTGGTTTTGCCACCTGCTGCTCAAGTGCAAGGACCCAAGTTCGATCCCCAGTACCAAAAAAAAAAAAAAAGAATAGAAATGTTATGCAGTAATAGAAGACTAACACATACTCATTATGAAAAGATCATTGGCTCTCCAAGACCTAAATAGATTGTATACATTTAATTAAGACTGACAATGAAAAATTAATTTGAGAGGGCATAGTACAATGGCAATAATTGTTGGTTGCCCATTCACAATTTGGCTCTCACTGCAGGCTATTAATCCAGGTATAGAATATAAATCCTAAAAGCATTAGGTTTAAAAATTATACTTTTCTTAATGTATTATATACAGTACTAGTATTTATCTAATAGTGGAGTGGAATAGTTATATATACTAGCTCAGACCTAAAATTTATAATTTTAATTATCATTGAGCCTTGTTTAAAATCTTGTATCTATGAGTAAAACATAAGATTAAGAAAAGAAGGGAAATATAAAGTTATGCAATGGGTTTGGCAAAAGATATATCAGAGAAATTAAGATTGTGACTGATCTTCACGGATAAATGGTTAGATTTATTTTTCCATATATGTCAATAAATTAAAACAACATGAAAAATCAAAGCAAATATTGTATTAATATATAAATCAGTTATTTAAAATGTAGTCAATTATAGAGAGCGAAAATAGACTTTCATGTTAGAATTTTAGTCAGCTATAAAACAGGGAGAATTGGCTTTTGTTGTTGTTCCCCTTTAACTCCCAGTATTCTTGGTCTCTTTATGATGTCACTTCTCTACATCACTAATCTGAATTTGCAACACATAAGTCCTGGCCAAGTCATAGGTGGGAAAAATGTCTGTACCAAGATTGTAAGTCCTTTTCTCACTTTTTTGTTTTAAAATAATCAGATACTTTAGTTAGTTTTATGCTCTTTGTTCTGAGGTGATGGTTACTACATTATTATTATGCCATTCACAAGGAAGAGAGAATGTACTTAATTAAAGACCTACATTCTCAAGCAACAGCATAGGATATTTGGATCTAAGACTTAGTTCATCTACTTCACCAAAATAGATGGGTTTGCACGTGTTTTCTACTGACTTGTAAACCTTATGAACTTTCTTTTTATTTTGTGTACTGGGTATACAAAATAAAAGAATTCATGATTCTTAAGGAAACTCGTCTCCCTAAAATCCATTTGGAAATTTCTGGGAACCTGTTTTATGTATATCACAGTGACTAAGGAGGGCTACTGAGCTTTAAAGGGTATAGGCAGGGAATTGAACCTTTAGAGTTGAGAAGCCCTACAAAAGCAGACAAGCCAATCATTAATTATATCTCCCTTGAGAAATATCCAGTATGTGAAAATACTCTGCAATAGAAAGTAGGTTATTTTGAAAATGAGGAGTTTGATGAAAGTAGTTTCCTTATTAAAAAAAGAGTACTCCCAAATATGTAAACCTTTTCATAGAAAAATGATGAAGGAATGGAATTTTGAAATATAAAAGAAAGAATGGCTAGCTTTTAGTGGTGCTGTTAAAGGGAAGATGAGCCATAAACCTTGAAAATGGGTTTTTCATAGGCAATGGTACCTTCTTCCTTATAACACAATCATTAAAGACCAATTTTGAATATATTTCTCATTACCTTTGAGGCTGAGGGACTTTATGACTATTACAAAGTACTCTATGTTCTAATGTCTATCATGCCAAATAATGCTATATTGTAATTATTTTAACATGCTTAAAAATAAAACATCACATAAAGTCAGAAAATTATATTTTGATACATGTATAGAATATTTAGTTTTTAAATCAGATTAAACATAGCTCCTAAAATATCTGTCATCAATTATAGTGAAAACATTGAAATTCCTTTTGTCTAGCTTTTTAAGTATACATTGAATTATCATATCCATAATCATCCTAAAGTGCAACAGCACACCAGAACTTCTTACTCATATCTAACTGTACCTGGCTCCTAGCCACCTAACAAACCTTCTCAATTTCTCTCTTCACCCTGGTCTCCTCAGCTTCTGGTGATGTAATTAACATTCTATTCTCAACTTCTATGAGATCAATCATTTTCTATTCCACATATCACTGGACTTGTCTGTCTGTGCCTGATTTTTTTCACATAGCTTAATGATTCTCAGTTCCATTTCTTGGTTTTTTTAGTGTTTTGAGATGAGATAATTCTGAAATTTTGAAATAGGTGCTGATTTCTCTAAACTTCCCTCCTTATACTGCTTTTGCTATCTCTTGCAGGTTTTGGTATATTGTGTTTTTTCATTTGTTTCAATAAATTTTTAAATTTCCTTCTAAATTTCTTCCATCACCTATTGGCTGTTCAAGAGTAAGTTAATTTCCATGTGGTTATATTGTTGCAGAAGATTTTCTGACTATTGATTTCTAGGGTTTTTTTCTTGCATTGTGGACAGGAAAGACAGTAGAAAAAAATTCAATTTTTAAAAATTTGTTTAGACTCATTTTGTGGCCTATCATATTATATAGCTTGGAGAATATCCATATACTATTAAGATGCAATGTTCTATAATTGTCTATTAGGTCCATTTGGTCAAGGGTGCAATTGAATTGAAGTTAATTCTATAACTTCTTTCTTTCTAATGTCTTTTGGTGTCACTGCAAATTTTAGTGTTTTATTATGCTTACCTCTTCTGTTTTTTCTGTTAGGTAGAATTATAATTAATGTAATCAGAGATTACATTATTTAATATAATTATAATGTAATTGTACATTATGTAATGTAATTGTACTTTATGTAATACAGAGATTACATTATGTATGCATTATGTATAGTCTTATCCCATCCACTTAAAAACTCTGATTAATTTACAGATGTCATTGGATATTCTGTTTGTCCAACCAAGTTCTCTGTAAACAGAAAAAATTTAACTTCTCTCTTTCCAGCCTTGACACTTCTATTTCTTTATAGAACAAAATGTAGCCTGGGTTACAACATTGAATACAAATGGTACAATTGAGCATTTTCCCCATTAGGTTATAGAAAAAAGACAGTCAAAATATCAGCATTAATTTTAACAAGAGATATTTTCTAGACTTTTTACCCTTTAAGGAAAATATTTTATCTTCCTAGCTTTTCCACAGTTTTTAACTATGAGTGAATATTACTTTTCTCAAAGATTTGTGAGCATAACCATTTGATTAATTTTCTTATTTGTTTTGTTACTAAGGCTGATTGCTCTGGTAAAATAACCTTATATTTTGGAGAGTAAACTTCAATTATCATGATGTATTATCCATTTTATATATTTTTAATAAAATTTGTTAAAGTTTAAGAAAACAAGTCTATATTAAGGAGGGATATTCTGTAATTTTAATTTTTATTGATGCCTCAGTTTGGAGGCTATTAATATTGGCTGCAAATATGAATTGAAACATCCTTCCTACTCTGACTTTTTTCTTATATACTTTTCCTAATGATGATATTCAAAATATTGATTTTAAACTTTTTTTCTCATTGGAGGTATTAAAGCTACAAATTCTTCTCCATGCTTTTGACATATTAAAATGTTGTGGTACAACTGTTTCTGTTTTACAAGTTTTCACTGAATTTTCTGTTTGTCCATTGGTTCTTTAGAAAGAACTATTTAATTTTTAAATACTTTTGCAACTTCTAAATAACCTTACAATCAAAGAATATATTCTAATGATTATATAAGAAGATTAACCATCATATCTATGTACTATTTTGAAAACTTCAAATTTAATAATATTATTCAGAAGCATGAAACATTTTCTCTTTCAGAGCATTTGAAATAAAGCAGCCATCAAAATATCTTCAGTAGTGTTTAAATGCATACTGATTAGGTCCAAACAGAGATGCCAACATTGTGAATCAAATAATTTTCATGAATGTACTTAGTTAACATTAATTTGGATAATTGATAGGTCATCACGCACTATGTTTTATTCAGTTGATTGATTAAAAATTTTGGCGAGTGACAAAAATATATGAGGTTTCAAGTTGGGATCTTCATTTCTTAATAAGACATTATGATGCTGTGGGTTTTTTTCTCTAAATTCTTAATTGTATGTACTATCAAAATAAGATACTCCATGTGTGCATGCATGTGTATGTATGTGTATGTAAAAGACTCAAACTTATTCATGATCAATTATTCTATATCAGTAATATAAAACAACAATGCACAGTAGTTTTCATTAACAAATCTTACTGTGAGTTTTGATTACAAATAAATAAAAATTAGATAATAAAACTCCCACGTATGGAAATAAACACATACATAAAATAATAAAATAAGTGAAGACCTATAAATGGAAAACAGTTTGGAACATAGATTTTAATTAAATTTTCCTAGAGAACAAGAACAATGATATTCCATATCTGTGTTTACAGTTCAGGTTGACACATACAAAAAAGCAAACTCAAAGAAACATCACTCTACATAATGATTTAAATTTGATTAAGTTATGATAATATTTTGAGGATTATCTCTTAAATAAGGGATTAATGATGTCTTGGATCAAATTTAATGGAAGAGAATTTGGACTGTGAGATAAGAAAAATAATTTGATCATAGATCTGCAATTCTTAAAAAAGTACATATGTAATGTGGAGTAAATTGGAAAGTTTTTATATGCGTATGTATTACACATAATATTTGTATATTATATGTAAAGCATATAAATATAAATGCATAATCTCTGTTGAAGTTGGAACACACAATTGTTCATGCTTACTTTATTGATAGAAGATTATCTTACATAGTAATGAAGATCTGAGAGTGAAAATTTGTTTATCTAAGTGTCAGTGGCAAATACTAATGTATAAGTGATCATTAAATGGAATACTTTTGCAAAATTAATTAAATCTTTTCCATTTTATTTTAATAGCCAAAAATTAAACTTTGGAACATATGACAATTATATTCCAGGTAAGAAAGAGGTTGATATTTATATTGTAAATACACATAATCAACTTCAGGATTAAATTTTCATCTTTCATTCAAAATGATACATCAAGGCTGGGGATTTAGCTCAGTGGTTCTGCCTCCTGCCTCAAAAGTGCAAGGTACTCAGTTCGATCCCTAGTACCAAAAAAAAAAAAGCCCTGCAAATGATACATCAAAAACTGCCATAGACTACAATTAATGATTGTTTTATTTGCCAAGTTATCTTCCTCATGGGCTCAGTGACGAGTAAGAAAATATATTCAGTGATATAAAGGTGGATACATTTACATGTTAGAAGTCATGCAATTAAATAATCTTACATTTGAAAAGTAATATAGAAACTGGACAAACAATCTCTGACCCAACTTCTTTTACCACCTTCCTAATAGATTATATCCAGTTTATAACTGGCAAAAAAATATCCTTACTATGTAAGGCAAATCTAATTCTCAATGACTTCAATAGCAAGTGATTTTCCTTCATATATTGAGCTTAAATGTGCTTTTCATTCTGTACATTAATCTTATTGATCTTGATACTGCCTTTAGAAGACCAATGGGAAATCTATTTTCACTTGCACATAGAAATACTGAAAATACCTGCATTGAGTTATGATATAGAGATATAAGACTCATTTTCACCTAAATATCCTTAAAAAAATTTACTACAGTTTTCAGATAACTTCACCCTCTCAGCCACCATTCTGCAAATCTGTTTGCCAATGTTCTTCATTAAGCATATTACCAATTGAAATTTTGTTTTTGAGTTTATAGCATTTACTCTTTCAGCTTAGAAAAATGATTATTAATTTAAGGGACCATAAACCTTAGTACTTAGAGTCAATCACATAATTACTGAATACCTTATGCCAGACATCCTTGTACTAAATACTTTGGGGGCATAACATGATTTCTGCTCTCAATGGAATTGGAAAGAAAAAGAGAAAGAAAGAAAGAAAGAAAAGAAAGAAAGGAAGGAAGGAAGAAAGAAAGAAAGAAGGAAGGAAGGAAGGAAGAAAGAAAGAAAGAAAGAAAGAAAGAAGAAGAGACAGAGTATGAGAGAGAAAAGAAAAGAAAGAAAAGAAAGGAAATGAAAAGAAAAGAAAAAAGAAAAGAAAAGAGAAAATAGGTTGGAAGATATAGGAAAATTTAAATGGAAACAATAATGCTGTTTCTTTGCACTATATTATAGACTTTGTTAGTTTCACAATGATATCTTTATATAGGTATCTAAAAACTGGAATAAGTAAAAAATCAATTTTTATTTTATCAAATTGATAATAATGAATTTCAAATATATGGCTAAAAGTAAGCCATAATTTTAATCATTTGTTTATTAATTTGTACAACATGGACTGCAATTAGTACAATTGCAGATCATATAAATTTTTAACTAATTACTCTAAAATGTGCAATTTTTTTCTTTCTTATTTTAGTCAGTGAATTAAGCAAAAAATCATGGAATCAACAACACTTTTCGCTGGCATTTCCCAAACCACAACGGCCAGGTACAAAAAGGAGAACAATGCCTTCCCAACTAAATAAAAATGCAACTTCTGTAAGTAATGAAAGATCATGTTCTTATTAATAGTTACATTTTAATAATAAGCATATGAAATAATATAGTTATTTACATGTTATGCCTCAAAGCTGACCAAAAATCTTCTATGATGATGGAAATATTTTATATCTTGCAGTCAAATGAGGCTAAGAAACATTTGAAATAAGGCTAGTGAAATTGAGGAGTTGCATTTTATATTCAAATTAAATTTAATTGAAGTAATGTAAACAAAAGTCATACCTGATTTTAATGCCATATTGACAGCATATTTAAAAATTATTCAAATCCTGCTATTCAGATAAAGTAAATGTATTTTATTTTCATTTCATTTTGTCATGGGAAAAAAGAAATATGAAATATGTTATCTCCCCACCTGTTAACTGAGTTCTTGTTCTCTAGAAATTGAAGAATGAGCCCTAGGAATGACATAGGTTAAAAGTAGGAAGATATTTATTGACAGGAAAGCTCCAGAGGGGCAGCACAAGGACCCTGAGTAGGTAGCACGAGGACCCCATTTTAAAGAGAAGTTTTATAGGGTGAAACCCAGATGGGTACAACATGGGCCACAGCCATGAACATCCAATAAGGTTACAAGTATAGTCCCTTAAAAAAACGCAAAAAAACAAGTATAGTCACTTAGGTAATGGTGTCCAATTGGGAAGCAAGTCACTTGCCAAGCATGGATGGAAAGAATGAGGATTCTCCTAGGAGGCGGTGAGTTCAGAGGTCTTCAGTCACCTCCAGGGTGGTCAATGCCTATCTATACTTCACTAAGCCCAGTTCTTTGGAGAAGTATGGGGTCTGGTCATCTTGTCTCCATCTAGAGGCCTGGTTTTCAGCCAATGTGCAGCTGTGGTGTATTTCACCTTTGTCCTGGCCCTCTCGAGGACTTAGCCCTATCTGACTGCCTATATATTTCTACATAGCTCATCTATCTATAATAATTTTATCGCTTATGTCAGATTAACTATTTTCTCAGTTGTCCTCCATTGTATAAAATGTGTATGAGAAGGACAGAAATCTACAGATTCTATTTGACAGTGAGTATACACACTCAGTAAACATTCACCATCTAGAGAAACTTCCTCATTATAGCTGTGGAATTACATTATGCTTTAAGGAAGTTTTAAACCTTTCTCATTTCATATAATATAGAATTCAGGATTTTGAGTATCAAATGATAAACATCTCACATTTCTGGAATGACCATGGGATATGAAAATTATAGAGAAAAATTCTCACAAATTAAATAAATGATTTATTTTTATTTTATGATTTTAATTTTATTTTTCTGTTGTATAATATTACTAAAATAAATTTCTTAATGTCTGGAAAAATTTCTTTAGCCGTTAAAAATAAAATATACCTGATATTTATTGAATGTCAGAGATTTCATTATTTCTGCTATATACCTGATAATACTCAATTTATATTTTGCCAAGTAGGAGGTATTTCAGGTTTCTACCTAAATTTTCAGAGATTGTAGTTTCCAGAGACTTTGAAAGTGAAAACCTATAGCAAGATATGCCTAAACCTAAAACTATTAGATATTAGGCTGACTAGTTTCTGAATTTGTTTAGACATGGATTATGGCCAAGATATTTCAAGAATTCTCAAGAACACGGAGTCAAAACAAAAAACAAACCAATAGAAAGCCTCTCCTGATTCTGAAGTGATATTCTCATATAAGTCAATGGATATCTCTACCAATATTAACATAAAATCTTGAAGTAATTATGAAGTTTGCCCAAATTGAAATGGACCTCAAATGAAGCATAACTATCCTTTAGTTTAAAAAATAATGAAATTCACACGGAAAAAAACCCTAAATTTATCACTTATTCATTTTTAAATAAAATAACTGAAATTTCTTATGGCTGAAACTAAAATATAATTCGTAGTTGTTAAATATTACATGACTCACAATTTATTCCTTGTTATTCTAATAAAAATTTCAGACAATTGAGGAAGAAAAGCTAAGGTATGAACATAGACAACCATTATGGATGCACCAGTCCTTAACAAAAATTTCTGAAAGACCATCTGTTTATTTAGCTGCCATGAGAAAACCTCCACCTAAACCAGTTCCTTCCCCAAAGTTGGATTCTTTATCTCCAGGAAATAATAAAAAGGTAGAGAAGGATAAATCAAAATCAGAATCAGAAATAAAACCTAAGGCAGCTGCCCAGAAAGGCAAGGATTCAGCTACAGAATCTGAAGGTGAAAAGGATGGATCAAAGAAAGGGGCCAAAAAAGATAAGAAAAGCTCAAAGGAAGGCAAGGATTCAGCTACAGATTCTGAAGGTGAAAAGGCTGGATCGAAGAAAGATGAAAAAAAAGGTAAAAAGGATGCAAAGGGCAAAGATGCATCTACAGATTCAGAACCTGAAAAAGGAGTTACAAAGAAGGATGAGGGGAAGAAAGGCAAGGAAACAAACGATGCTAAGAAAGATGCAAGAAAGAAGGAAAGTAAGAAAGATTTAAAGAAGCCAGGTGCTTCAGAAGGTGAATCAAAGGAAGATGCAAAGAGAGATGCCAAGAAAGATACCAAAAAGGATGCTAAGAAAGATGCCTCAGAATCCGCTGAAGGGAAAAAGGACACCAAGAAAGGTGCCAAGAAGGATGCAAAGAAGGGCAAGTAGGCAATAATTCCACCTAACAGAATTGTGTAGAAGCTTATGGGATGAAGCAATGTTAGCAGTCTGAAGTGGAATCTAGAGTGAAAAAGAGGGTTCAAACATTATTCAAAGAAATTTTAAGAGAGTCAAAGAAGAACATAAGGGATTACAAAATAAAATATGAGAAAGATTTTGGGAAAAATTAAGGAAGAATCCATTGGAAGACTTGAAAAATATGTCTGCTAAATTAGAAGACAGATTATTAAACATTTTTAGAAAGACTAAAAAAGGAATATTCAATTAAAGATACAATCTATGGATACAAAATTTTTAAAATTTTGTTCAGTGAAGAATTTAAAAATTCAGGAAAGATATGTCATAACTATAGATTTAAAAAAATTTCAAGCTGCATTCATAAATTTAATAAAGAACTATAAGAGTTGTCAAAAGAAGCGAAACAACTTTACTTTGAAGTAAATAGCAATCAAAGATAACTTTAAAGAAATAGAGAAAGAGAAGGAAGGAAAAAGGAAGGTCAGTCAAGGGAAAAAAGCAAAGAAACAAGAATACCGCTATTTACCTGTTCTTACTTGTAAGCCAATATCACCATCTCTGGAGTTGAAACAACCACAACCATGATTATGCTTGTAGACTGCTTCACTTCTAAGTCAAGATGCACATAAATGGTAAGTTAATGTTGATTTATTTTGTTAAATAAACTATCCAAAAATTTAAATGGTTCCTTACTTTTTTTAAAAGTATATAATTTATGGATACATATTTTATGAAAATGTATCAGTCTTTCTCATTTAAGAAATATTTGAACATGAAAACATTACAAAATAAATGAGGTATTAACAAGTGTCAGTGAAAAAGTTAAGAGAATTAGAATTCCTTATGTTACAGGAGAGAACACCATAAGCTACGTAAGATTAACCATGATTTAAAACTTTATTTTAAAATAGAAAAAGTCACCACCTTTTCTCAGTTTAAAGAATGAAAATCAAAATTGTGCAAATTACTGAGAACAATTTTAAATGCAGTATAAAAAGGCTGTCTCAATATACTGCTTAATACTCATACAAAATTAAGCAGAATTCAACAAGGTAAAATAGTTATATTGCATAATATTGTTTAGACAAAAGAACAATTAACTTTGTATCTTTATAATTACATTAAATTATCTTGTAACCCACAAGTCCTACTAATGTGAGAGAAAAAAATCAACACAGAGCAAAAATACAACACTAAAAATCTTCCCAATTAGTGACAATTCATTCATTTCTGATTTTACATGTTCTATCTCAGTTTAACTCAACATTGTTGCAGAATTTGCTAAGTGATTTTTCTCTTTTATGTTTCCCCATACAAATTATCAAATCAAAATGCTACTTTTACTTCATTTTAAGGAGAAGGGAGTCCAATTCCACCTGCTGTTGTGAGCTGGTTTTCTATGAATGGTAAGGTATAATTGTTTTGCCTGGTCACTTGTGTATCAACTATTAAGGATCAGTTGCTGTTGAACTCAAGTTCTGTCAAACAATCTCACTTTGTTAATTTGAGTTATCTTATATAACAGTAGAATTCCTGTCTCTCTGTTCTCTACTTTCTTTAGGAACCTCCTCACTTTCCCTTGACTTATAGTACAATTGTATGATCAGATTTTTAAACTTTTCTGGAAATGTTCCCTCTGAGGATTAGAGTAATTGTTCTAAATACTTTTTTCTTTAAAAAAGAAAAAGCCCTAAAAATCTTTTTCAAAAGGATTCAAAAATCAGACTTTAGATTCAAACTAATGGATAGTGACCAAAAATTGAACTTCTAAACTTAATCATTCTAAAGAAATGGTCAAGAACACCAAGAAACTCCATGTAGTCAAAAATCCAATAGTGATGTCTTTAGACTATGGCACCTCTTCTATTTCATTGTATTATTTTTCTAGGATATTTCATCCATCTTCATGGCTTTATATATTATTCTTATACTGTTCAATCCTATATTTATACCAAATACTACTTTTTCCACTCAACTCCAAACTCATATATGCAAATGCTTAATGAGTCAATTTGTCTTCCAGACATCTGACAATTAACATGTGCTGAAGAAACATCTGAATACAATCACCGAAGCCTACTTTTTTCAACGTCTTCACCAAATCAATAAATGGTGCTAATGTCCATTATGTGGCCAATCTAAAACTGGTGAGACATCCCTACTTCCTTTTACCTTGCCCGTTAGTAATTCCTGTTCTATCTCCAAAATATTTCATTTTATTACATTTCTACTGCTTCCACACTAGCATTTTAGTCAAATGTTATATTCATTTGGAAACCTCAATACCCTCTACATACAGGTGAATTTCAGGTGCAACAGTCACCACACCCCCTCCTCTGGTGGACACAGTCTTCTAATGTATTGACGCTACATTTCGCTGGAACTTTTCTCTTGCTGTGGCTCACAAATCCTTTAATAATCTGGAGTCTGTGTCTCTGTTCTCATATGGCACCACTATTGCTTTGGTCTATCATACTTTGATGATAGTGGATTTCTCTAATTTTATGATATTAATTTGCTTACTTTCTGCCTAGAATCCAATTATATTAGAATATCACATTCCTCAGTCATTAAAATTATACATTTTATCCCTAAATTTTATGTTTCCATTTTAATAGACTCGTTTTTAGAGAAGTTTTATGTCCACAACAGAACTAAGAGGTATGGAGATTTCTTCTAGGCTTCCTCCTCCCAGACATGAATTGACTGCCCCATGACTTACATTCCCCATCACAAGTGTATATTTCTACAATTCATGAATTGACATCAACACACACCATTCATCCAAAATTAATGGATTACATTTGAATTCACTGTAAGTGTACATTCTAGGGGTCCTGATGAAATCTGTAATGAAATGTTCCCACCATTATATTATACTTAGAGAAGTTTCCCTGAGGCAAAAATCTTCTTAGTCCGTTTTTGTACCAGTTTTACGTTGTTTTTGTGCCAGCATTATGTTGTTTCTGTTCCTTAGTATTACAATATATTTTGACTCAGGAATTAGAATGCCTCCTGCTTTGTTATTTTTGGTCAAGTGCTTTACTTCAAAGCATTTTGTGATTCCACTGGAATCTTTAGATTACTTTTTCTATTTCTTTAAGAAATGTCATTGAAATTTTTATACAATTTGAATTGAGTTCATAGATCATTTTGGGTAATATGGATTTTTTGCCATTATGAATTCTTTTAATCTGTGAATATGAAATAGATTTCCATTTATTTGTATTCTCTTCACTTTCTATCATCTATATTCTATAGTTTAGAGAGTATTGGTGCTTCTGTTCTTTGGTTAAATTTATTCGTACTGTTTTATTTTGGAGTTTTTTTGTACTGGAAATCAAACTTAGGAACTTGCACTTGCCAGGCAGGTGTGACACCACTGAGGTAAATTCCTGGGCCTCCTAAATATTTTTGATGCTACTGAAAAGGAGACTTTTCTAGAGTTTTTGTTGTAAAATTTTTTATAGCAATTCCACAAATTTTATGTTGATTTTCTATACTAAAATTTTCATTTATTATTTCCACAAATGTTTGGGGTTGTTTTCTTTAAGGTTTTAGGGTTTTGTATCCATAATAGCATTTTATCAAAAGAGATAATTCCACTTTACCTTTTGGATTTGGTTATTCTTTGCTTCCTTGTGTTCCTTATTTGTAATAGGACTTCCAGAACTATAATGCACAGACATGGTAAAAGTGAACAGTCTTGTTTTCTTCAATACCTCATAGGAAAAAAATTGACCATTTGAAGAATTGTTCTATGTATTTATTACCTATTCATGTGGTTTTCTGTGTCTCATGTGCTCTTCTTGTTTTATTATTGATTCAAAGGTATCTATTTTTTATTTTATGGTCCCTTCATAATCATTTTGGTGCAAAAATTTGGCCCCAATAGGTAATATTTAATAGAGTCTAAAATGATAAGCAAACAATAAAAAATGTTTTCCTGGGCCTTAAATTAACAAGAAGTTATCATCAGGAGATCATTGTTTCTATATGCATTTTATTAATGAATGCTGCATTTAAAAGAAAATAAATATCGAAATAAAATTTCTAACATATGTTCCACCAATTTTTAACAAACTATTCTCATACTCACAATAAACATGAGAAGAAATAGAAATACCAAGACCCAAAGCTTCACAATTTGTCAGACTAAATTTTGCTTCTTGCTCTAACTTTATTAACATGTGCCTCCAGACAAGCTAAGACTTAGAATATTTATGTGTGAGTACAGCAGTAATGTTTAACTTTCAAGATTAAATAAGATTAGGTTATGTGATGTGCTGCATTAATTAATTAATTATAATATACATGATAGCTATTACAATAACTATTCAAAATCATATCTAACATACTTAATTTGGCTCCATGGGAGGATTGGTCCCATCAATATTTTCTAAACAATCACATCTGAGATTAGTTGAAAAGGTCATATAATATTCATATAATAACAAAATAAATATTAATCTATTTAATTATAAAAAATTCATAAATAAAATCAAGACATTTAATCAATACCCTTTTTTGAATAAGAACTTATCAACTATATCTTTAATTTTCCTCTAAAATATTATTAACATCATAAAGGAATGGTTAATATTTACCTTTACTATAGATTCAAAGATTCTATAACACTGTATTAACAAAATGATTTATTAAAAATAATCTTGCTTATACCAACAGCAAGTAAAATTTTAATCACATATAAATAAATGCAGGAAATGTGACCAAGGTATCTTATTAAGAAAATTAACCATTCCTGTATTGTGCTAGAAAGGATTTATAAAATAGATTTTAAAAACTGAAGGCCATTTTAACCCCCCCAAATTACTTATTGATTAAATCATATATAATAGTAGGTTGGCCAATGTACGTAAATTGCATAAATAATAGTTCCAGAGCCTTTCTTTTACTTCATACCTAATTATTTTGAGTGTAATTTCATGAGTGTATTAATAATTCCTGTTTCTTATAAAATTACTTTTTAATTATCAATCTATTTATATAGCTTGTCACTTGTGTACTGATTTGTGAAAAGTTCTGTATTAAAAAGGCCTCCTTTACCTTAATTTGAGGGGAGATAAAGGAAGGAAAAAATGTTCTTGAGCATAAAGCAATGTAAACAATAATCATGTCTCTCTAAATTGAAATTTGTTCATCTCTAAAATGTGGTACTGAGCTATGTAATGCAGCATCAAAGGTGGTGGGCTGACAGAATAAAAAGAGTGAAAATACTATGAGTATCTTCCTGGACTTCAGTGACTTAGTATATGCTCAAGCTGTTTCCTTTTCAGCCCAGAGAATAAAATTGTTTACATTTAAAACTAGACAATGCTCAGAGTCAATTGTGTCTGTCATTGGGTTAAAATCTGCAATTAGAACATACCCAAAACTCATTTGACAAGTTTTATCATAATGTAACTGCACTCTATTGCAAATGCTTAGCTCCACTTAAAAGTTATTTTACATAGAATCATAATCTTCATGATTATAGACAGTCACCAGTAAGTAGAATTAGTTTATTTTTCATTATGTCAGAGGAATTAAGGATTTTTATTTCCTACAAAAGCCAGGGGGAACGTTTGGAGGTAAATTTTTGAGCCTTTATGCTTAACTCTGATTTTTCATTAAAAACACAGAATTATTTCAGAAGTACTGGGATTATTTAAAAATGAGTTGGTCTTAATTAACCTATAGCACAGAATTTTGGATTTTTTTTGAAGCTGTGTTTTATTTTAAATATGAATTTTGAGTTCTATTAGAAATATTACTAGAAGAATTAATAAATTAATAGAAGAATTAATAAGAGATTTAAAGTGCAATTGATATGAAACTTGGACTTTTTGGTTATTAAAATTAACATTCTATAATAAAACAATATACACATTCTCCAAATGATAAGAATTAAATATGTCCCTAAGAATATTCAATTTTCTAGTTTTATGGATCTATCTTCTCATGTGTAATAACAAGCAGCCAAGATGATTGGTTATAAGTGTTTCTCTGTCCTTTCTTTGGCTTTTTCAGTCTGATAAATAGTACTAAAGCCAAAGGGAGTTGATTCAGAATGGGAGATCAATTCAAAGGTAGAGATCTATATAAAGTACAATCCCTTCTTCAATATTTCCACTATATGTTTGCAAGAGTACATTTTTCAGAGCTATCCAATTCTAAATTTAGGGTTCACAATCCTACATTTTGTATATGGAAGATATTTTTCCTCTTTTAATGATTATCCTTCCCTTGAGTAAAGCTTAAAGATGTAAAAGTGAAATACAGATGTTCAAGGATTGCTGCATTTGTTGGTATGTTGATCACAAATGTACGACTAAATCACTACAAAATTTTGCAGTGATGTTTAAAATTTTTTCAAATGTGACTAAAATCACAAAATAAATATCCTAACACAGGCATTTTCTTATCTTAGATATTTATGACTCCTGAAAGAGGCACTGAATACTTCTCACCCCTTATATGGAAAATAAAAGTGGTCAATGAGATCACTATTTTTTTTATAAAATTCTTTAAACCTTCCCCAATTTGTCTTGTTGTTTGTATTGATTGTATTATTTGCAGGGTAAATTACAAATAGGCTTGACTTATTTTCTTTTGTCTGTATGCAAATATAATGTGTCTTTCTGTGTTTAACAGTATCAATATCATAAAGCAAAAGAAAAATAGTTGAAAATTGAGTGTCATAAAATACAAAAAAACCTCAAGAGATTTTGAAATAATTTTTTTTATGTGAGAACAAATACATTACCTTATACTGAATGTAAAATGTGCACTGATTTTTGAATTTGTACAAACAGATATTATCTAACTTTCTTTAGCATTAAAAACACCATTATAACATTATAAAAAAGAAAAAACCATTAGTAACTATATTTTGTATTTAACATAATGCTTTCCTCCTATGTTTACACAGTGCTAAAATTGTCATTTCTCAATCATATACATAGGAATACTTCAACTCCTGTTCAAGATTTTTGGCTTGTGATTCACTATTGAAAATTCTAGTCAATTCCTCTCACAATCTCTCTTGTACTGTAATGATAGATATCTTAAGATTAGTATGGCTCCTCCCAGTAACTCTTCAGCTACTTTCAATTGCTTTTACTCATAAAGATTTTATTTCAGAGAG